TTTCTTTATTTTCTTTTTCGCTTTCAGACTATCTTCCCCGACAACGCTTACGGCGTCGACTCCGGAGGAGACCCGACCGCTATCCCCAGCCTGACTTTCGAGTACTTCAAGGGCTTCCACCAGCGATTCTACCACCCGGGCAACAGCCGCGTCTACTTCTACGGAGATGACCCTCCGCTCAAGGTGAGCACGCCATGACACTCATCGTCTTTGTTCAGTGTTGTATTGTAGTGGTTCCCCCGCATCAAGGAGGCGGGTTGTCCTGTGTAAGGCCGCTGAATTTGCGTGCCACAGCAGAATACGAGTATCCCCCCCCCCCCCACCTGTTTTCTGGAAATCGTTCTTTTCACGACCCTAACCCCACCCGCATATATCCCGTGCGCCTGGGTTTCCTGTTGTTTGTGTGTTTGTCAGCGTCTGGAGCTTCTGGACGGCTACCTCTCCGACTTCGACGCGTCTGGCGCTGACACTAGCGGATCGCAGGTTCAGTGGCAAAAGAAGAAGACAGAGCCGTGGAGGGTGACGGAGGAGTTCCCCGCCGGAGAGGACAGCAAGGGTAAGACTTTGGGCCATGAGTGATGAGACATGTCTGCACGTTGTGATGGCGATGTTAGGCGTGAAACTCCCTCCCCTACTGGTGCTGTGCTGCAGGGATGCGAGGGCCAGTCTGTTGGTACAGAATCACACAGGATGTATGCTGAAGACTGCTGGGTACCCCCCTCTCTGTACACCAATGGTTGTGCTCCCCCCATCCCACCCGGCATACAGCATGGCTCCTTGCCGGCATTGCGGGCACGCAAGGTCTACGGTCTGACGACTATTAATATGGCATGCGTTCACATGAGTGCATCCCTCCCCCCTTGCCCCACCACTCTCAACACTCCAGGCAAGCACATGGTGTCCGTGAACTGGCTGCTGAACGACGAGCCCCTCTCCGTCAAAGACGCGCTAGCGCTCGAGCTCACCGACGACCTCCTGGTGGGCACGTCGGCGGCCACCCTCCGCAAGGCCCTCACCGACAGTGGTCTCGGAGAGAGCGTCATCGGGGGCGGGCTGAGCTCGGAGCTGTTGCAGAACACCTACAGCATCGGCCTCAAGGTGGGCACGGCGGGGGGGGGGGGGTCTGTACTCATGTACACGCATGCCATTTGTCGTTGGACCATTGACCCCGTATACCCCGTATGCATCCCTACGATGCTGGGACAGTGGGCATGGGCGGGGGGAGAAAAGGCAAAAGTGCCGGATAATTGTACGATAGACATCTACCAGCGTTCTTTCTCTTGAAATATGTTTTTTTCTGTTGTGTTCCCATTGTTTGGTTTTTGTACATTTTTTGTTTGGTGGGTTGTCCTGCTGTCTGTTGGCATCAAAGAAGTTCGTGGCTCCGAATGGTATCAGCATGTGCAATCTACATTTTCCTTGCCCTTGGTTGCAAGCTATTAACACTTTTCTCTGTACAGCTACTAATTCTCTTGCGGGAGTCGATCTGTTTTATGAACGTAGAGTACGCCCTCTTGTGAAGTAGTTCACAACTTAGGGTGCCTACCTGAGCCCTTTCTTCGAATCAATCCCACTACCGTCACCGCCGTTCT